ACCGGCCTTAGCGAAACCTGTTTTTGTAAACCCTATCCAATATGGTAGAAAGCTCACTTCGGCGTTTGTGTTCGTGTATTTTCCAAAACATCCGAACCGATTCTAGGTTTATCAGCGACGTTTCAGAATTATTTAGATGTGTTTCTCCTCAGCAGTCGAAATGTTTGTTTTTGTTCCGAGGTTTAGCTGTAAAGATGCCATTTTGACAGACGACAGAGAGTAACGCTTTTGTGTTTACGTCGCGGTGGTGGAAAATATTTAGGGGAATCCCCGAATTTAATGAAAATATTTACATTAGGACGTCATTAGATAATGATACGCTAATAAGTGTTTCATACAACCGTTTTTTAACGTTGCCATTAACTAATGATGCTTTAAGGATTTAATGTATCATTAGGCTTTAAGGTTGACATTAGTTAATGAAGCAATGATACAACCGGATCTAGGGCCTAGATTTTCGAAGCTGTCTTAGCGCTAAGATAGTCGTAACTTAATGTTAATGTATGGCACTTACGACTATCTTAGCGCTAAGAGAGCTTCAAAAATCTAGGCCCAGGCATAAGTTAGGTGAAGCTTGTAATTGAAATGCAAGCACAATACAACACTGAACATCTTGTAACAGTCGTTTCCACTCGTGAGAATTCAAGCAACTATTTCAGATTTTATTACAGAATGACATGACTGATATCACCCAGTGTTCATATTTTATTCACAAATGCAGCAGCAAGCTAATCAATATGCACATCACAACAAAACTCATTTATTATTCGTATCAGCTTATCATGTGCACACATTTTACTCTGGTACAGTAACAGGAATGGTGGAAAACACCTGTCTACATTGGCAGAACATGTCCCCAGGTGTAGAGTGGTTTCAGGACACTCGTGGCACCAACATTTTCTTTCGAACATTTTCTTTTTACGAGTACAAGCTAGTTATAGCAAGCAATCCCATGATTGACGTACGTGTACAAGCTAGTTATAGCAAGCAACCCCATGATTGACATACGTGTACAAGCTAGTTATAGCAAGCAATCCCATGATTGACATACGTGTACAAGCTAGTTATAGCAAGCAATCCCATGATTGACTTTTGTGTACAAGCTAGTTATAGCAAGCAATCCCATGACTGACATACGTGTACAAGCTAGTTATAGCAAGCAATCCCATGATTGACATACGTGTACAAGCTAGTTATAGCAAGCAATCCCATGATTGACGTACGTGTACAAGCTAGTTATAGCAAGCAATCCCATGATTGACATACGTGTACAAGCTAGTTATAGCAAGCAATCCCATGACTGACATACGCATACAAGCTAGTTATAGCAAGCAATCCCATGATTGACATACGCGTACAAGCTAGTTATAGCAAGCAATCCCATGATTGACATACGTGTACAAACTAGTTATAGCAAGTGTACAAAGTAGTTATAGCAAGCATTCCCACGATTGACATACGTGTACAAGCTAGTTATAGCAAGCAATCCCATGACTGACATACGTGTACAAGCTAGTTATAGCAAGCAATCCCATGACTGACATACACGTACAAGCTAGTTATAGCAAGCAATCCCATGATTGACGTACGTGTACAAACTAGTTATAGCAAGCAATCCCATGATTGACATACGTGTACAAACTAGTTATAGCAAGCAATCCCATGACTGGCATACGTTTACAAACTAGTTATAGCAAGTGTACAAACTAGTTATAGCAAGCAATCCCATGATTGACATACGTGTACAAGCTAGTTATAGCAAGCAATCCCATGACTGACATACGCGTACAAGTTAGTTATAGCAAGCAATCCTATGATAGACATATGTGTACAAACTAGTTATAGCAAGCAATCCCATGATTGACATACGTGTACAAGCTAGTTATAGCAAGCAATCCCATGACCGACATACGCGTACAAGGTAGTTATAGCAAGCAATCCCACGATTGACATACGTGTACAAGCTAGTTATAGCAAGCAATCCCATGACTGGCATACGTGTACAAACTAGTTATAGTAAGTGTACAAACTAGTTATAGCAAGCAATCCCATGATTGACATACGTGTACAAGCTAGTTATAGCAAGCAATCCCATGACTGACATACGCGTACAAGCTAGTTATAGCAAGCAATCCCATGATTGACATTCGTGTACAAGCTAGTTATAGCAAGCAATCCCATGATTGACGTACGTGTACAAGCTAGTTATAGCAAGCAATCCCATTATTGACATACGTGTACAAGCTAGTTATAGCAAGCAATCCCATGATTGACATACGTGTACAAGCTAGTTATAGCAAGCAATCACATGACTGACATACGTGTACAAGCTAGTTATAGCAAGCAATCCAATGATTGACATACGTGTACAAGCTAGTTATAGCAAGCAATCCCATGATTGACATACGTGTCTAAGCTATCTATAGCAAGCAATCCATTGACTGGTGTACGTGCACAAGCTAGTTATAGCAAGAATTCTCTTGACTGGCGTACGTGTACAAGCTAATTATAGCAAGCAATCCCATGATTGACGTACGGGTACTAGCTACCTAGAGCAAGCAATCCGATGATTGACTTACGTGTACTAGTTAGTTATAGCAAGCATTCCCATGATTGACGTACGTGTACTAACTAGTTAAGTCAAGTCAAGTTTAATTCTGAAGTGGGTAGGCCTTAGGCCCATGTCACTGTTACATACATGGGAGACGTCAGCATTTCATACACTGAGGATATTTTGTCTGACAAGCATTGCTTTGTATACATACATAGCTAAGTTGATCAAAATAGATTCATTATTTGTTGACATCAATGTTGCAAATTTGTGATATATAGGATGGGCAAAGTATTTTTCAGGTATAAATTTGGTTCTAATTTCTTCATAGGCACTACAAATACAAATGAAATGATATTCATCCTCAATATAAAGCTTTTTACAAACTAAACAACTACTAGCTGGTTATAGCAAGCAAGGCCTCGAATGGCGTACTTGTATTAACAAGTTATAGCAAGCAATGCCTTGATTGGTATGGTAGCTAGTTATAGCAGGCAACCTGTTGATTGGTATGGTAAATTATTGAACAGGTTTTCAACAAACAGTCTGAACATTGGCGTGATAGATATTGGGAGGTTTATAGCAAGAAACCAGTTGAAACAGGCCGATATTCTGAAATGCTAACAAGCATTGTCTTGTTAAGGGTGATAGATTATTGGTGAAATAATAACAAACAGATCCTTGGCATGACATAGTGTAAGCTGAGAACAAATTATCAGCTAAGATGAACCTGTTTCTTTATTTGCATCTCAACAACATGGAAAACCCTGAAACCTACTTCAGTTCTGGTGTTCATCCTCTGTTAACCTGGCACCCCATCAACCTCTTCAGAAAGGTCTCACTAGATCACTAGAATCGCTGTGTAAAATGGTTCCTTTTGTATATGTCGAGATGCGATTTTAAGATAAGTTATATTTAAATGCGCTTGCTGAATTATAAAGGATTGATCGCACAGAATGACCCATGTTCAAGCCCTCAACGAGTGACACCATTAAATGTTTATTATATCCGTTGACCTTGAGAGAAGGGCAGGGGTCACAGCGTGGTCCGAGCAACAGGTCCGGTTCAAACAAAGGTGTTCATTCGACTGTGAACAGTGTGGCCATCACGCTTCACTGATTCAGTGTACACGAGGCAGAATGGTTGTCAGCAACACGTTCACATATGCTGAAGAGTGTCATCGTATAATTTTATTAAATAAGTGCATAAAAGTTCAATCTAGTTCAAGATTGTATAAAATTTATATAGTGAAGCTCGTGTCATCGATTTCATTTAATTAGATTTTTATGTGACACTGCACTGCGGATATAGTCAAATATTTAGTCCTGGAACCATATTAAGCACAACCAATCAATTTTGTTTTGAAAAATAAAGCGCAGATCCTGGTGCAACAAAGGGACATAATTCTTCAAAACAATATGTCGTTCACGATTGTGTTTCACTTATGTACCACATATCATGTATTACATTGTATCCCACCTGCTAGCAGATATATTATATTGCGGAATCAATCAGCAACTGTATCTATTTTTCCGGTTGACATAGGGGCCGGGGAGGTGTAGCCTAGTGGTTAAAGCGTTCGGTCGTCACGCCGAAGACCCGGGTTAGATTCCCCACATGGGTGTGGTGTGGTGGATAGCAGTAGTTGTAAGTGCTGCAATTCATACTTCTGTTCAGGGTTGCGTCTCTAAGAAAACTGCTTCAATTCTCCCAGCTTCGCCTTAATTCTGTGCCTGTTTTGGGTGGGATTCCCCAAATGGGTACAATGTGTTAAGCCCATTTCTGGTGTCCCTCGTCGTGATATTGCTGGAATATTGCTAAAATCGGCGTAAAACTAAACTCACTCACTCATTTTAACATATATCCTAAACCCATTCGACACTCAAGCTATGTTTGGAAAATGACGTCATCACATCTATCTCCCCTATAGCTAATTTCGCACAGAATTTCTCTCGCTTGTGAGAGCAATCTGATTAGACGACGCAGGACATTCCAATCAGGCTAAAAACAAAGAACTGTTAGTAACTAGTCCAGGGGTATTTAATAATAATAATAATAACATGGAGACCTTATTCCCTGCATAACGAGGATGACTCACACTTTCAATATTGTACATTTGGAAAACAATATGTTGTTATTTATAAGTTATGGTAAAAAAACATAGTGTGTTTCACTGAACTGGTAAGATCGTGTTAATAAACGAGGTGAATAATGATATACTTACGTTCAGAAAGCAATGTCAACTGCCGTAAAGAAGTGTTTTCAAGAACGTTCAAAAAACATATTTTGCGACTCACTCACTCACTCAGGTGAAGGTTCTATATTTGTTCCCTAATATGTCACTTCCATCTTGCTTGTACTCTTTTCACGCAATATGAATATAGATAAGAATGCTTCTTCAAATGTTATTGTTGGTAAGAATTATACACTCAGCACCTGTGTTCTTCAGTGCCAAACTTCATCATGCTGGTCCAGCAGCTGCTCGAGGACGTGCAGGGATGGTACAACGACTCCATGGGCAAAGCAGGTACGTCGATGTTGTCTGGAAGCACCACGGGGACGACATAGAAGTGGTGAAGTGGGGTGAAATGCTCGATGTACAAGATACTGATAGGATAAAAACAGAAGCGTTATGGGATATTGCTGTTGTTGTTGTTGTTGTTGTGAAGCGTTATGGGATGTTGTTGTTGTTGTTGTTGTTGTTGTTGTTACGAGAATTCAGAGCTAAGATGTCTTTATACATGACGTCTTTTACATGCGTTGTGGGGTGAAATCAAAACACAATCTGGTGAGATTCTGTTCGTCTCGGTATATCGGTATAAAGACTGTCGGTCTGCCCATTAACGTATATTGAAACCTTCGCCAATTTTCAAAATTTCTGGAACCTTTCAGATTATTTTGTACAGTTATTGAAAACATTATTTGATTTCTTTAATATCATGAAAAAGATTTCTGTGCAACTGGGATACGATGACATGCAGTCAGGAACAGCGCGAAAAGCGAGATGCACGTGCGTTAACGGGTTCTCAAGAAAATTTTGAGCTGGCGAGATGACACGTACCCCAGCTGCACAGGCAGTGCGCTGTATGTACCTAGTAATTGCATACTTCCTGCCCCCATGTCATTTTCATTGTTGAAGAAATCATAGAGTTGTAAATTATAGACTTAAAATTATCATTTTCTCTCACTTTGTCAATCAGCAGTAATCATCGATCCAATCCCGTTGGTCGCCTCTTGAGACAAGCATGGGGTGCTGAAGATCAGTTCTAACCCGGAATCTTCTCGGGGAGAGAATTTTAATATATATTTTTTTTACACACTAACACGTATCTCTAACATCATTCCTAACTCTTTGAAGGATACTGATATCTCTGATATCTTTTGATATCAAATAATAAGCTAAAACTGATATAACAAAACACTATCTTTCTTTCTATACCTTTGACACAGCTATATATGGCTAAAAAGTCAGACAGGTTGCTTCGGTAATTATTAAGTCCATGATTGTAACTTAACCAGATTCTCCTTTACTCTGACAGACCCCCGGGCTGTTGATCTCCCCCTCGCCCAGACCCCCGGGCCCATCCTCTCCATCCTCCTCCTGTACATCCTGATCGTCCTCCACGGGCCTCGGATGATGGAGCAGCATAAACCTCTCCAGATAAGATGGCTCCTCGTCGGCTACAACTTCTCAATGGTGGCCTTGTCGTTCTGGATATTTGCAAAGGTAGGACTGAAAGTGAGTGAGTGAGTGAGTTGGGTTCGACGCCGCTTTTAACAATATTCTTGATGTATCGCGGCGTGTGAGGAAAGACCGATGCAGATCTTATGTTGGTTGGTTGGTTCACTGACTGTTTACAAGTTTACACTTTCAAGAAATGATTCCAAGAGCTTTTAAAGAGGAGTGTACATAATTTTCGATTGTTTGCTCTGTAACGCCGCATTCAGCAATATTCCAGGTATATGGTGGCGGTCTGTAAAGAATCGAGTCTGGACCAGACAATCCAGTGATCAACATCAAAATCTTCGTAATTGAGATGCGATGATATATGTCTACCGAGTCAGCGAGTCTGACCACCCGATCCCGTTAGTCGTTCTTACGACATGTATGGGTTACTGAAGATCAATTCTAACCCGGATCTTTAAATGGGCTTATTTGTTACTGTCAAATTTATAGTGATATATATCCAGTGGCTAAAGATTAGTCTATAGAGTGATGTGACTTATCCTAGAACTGAAACACTCTAGTGTAAAATTACCGAGGGATGAAATCACTCCTCTCTCTGGATGAGTGAGTGGTATTAACACGTAGTCGAATTATAGTTTCCTCGTATGAAATACACTGTTTTATAGTCTTGATTTTCAAAGACAACGTGCATAATTGTCGGCATCCACAACTGGAAAAACCGATTTACATAATTTTAAGAGTGAGTGAGTGAGTTTAGTTTTACACCGCATTAGGCAATATTCCAGCTATATGGCGGCGGTCTGTAAATAATCGTGTCTGGACCAGACAAACCAGAGATCAACAGCATGAGCATGGATCATGTGTCAACCAAGTCAGCGAGCCTGACCGCCCGATCCCGTTAGTCGCCTCTTACGACAAGCATGGGTTACTGAAGATCAATATTCTAACCCAGACCTTCACGGGTTCATTATTTCAAGCTAACCATTTAATGATTAATGTATGAATGGGCAAATCCATATTCAACATTCTTTGGAATTATGTTATCTATAACTCACCTGAAATAATTAGGTATTACCTAAGGGAGACAACGTTTACATTCTGTCAATACAGGTAAATAACGACTCATGCTTCTTTCGTTTTCAATCTGATGTTCACATCCAGACACTACACGGACACATACTATGGCAATCGGTTAAAGCGTTCGCTCGTCAGCCGATGTCCGAGGTTCGATTCCAGCATGGGTACAATGTGTGAAGCCCATTTCTGGTATACCCCCACGGTGATATTGCTGTAATATTGCTAAAACCGGCGTAAAACAATACTCACTCACTATGACAATCTGATATTATAGTCCGTTTGGCTCAAAAGCGGACCGATGAATTGCAATCTAACTCGAAAACTAATAAACATAAAATACTCAATGAAACGCTGATCATAATCAAAACATCAGACCAACTCTGTGAGGTTTTTGCAGAATTTTTGTCCTAAAAATAAAAAAGGTTGTTTAGCAATCTATCATTAAAATATTGACACAGTTCACTATTTGTTACGAGGGAGGAGTGCAGAGAAAGGGACAGCCAGGTGTTCGAGAAGCACGTTCACAGACAAAGTTATTTATTCATTAACCTGTGCTGTGCCGTCTCCATCCGTTCTCGAACACCTGGCTGTCCCTTTCGCTGCACTCCTCCCTCGTAACAAATAGTGAACTGTGTCAATATTTTAATGATAGTTTGTTAAACAACTTTATTATTTTTAGGACAAAAATTCTGCAAAAACCTCACAGTTGGTATGATGTTTTGATTAAGATCAGCGTTTCATTGAGTATCCTATGTTTATTAGTTTTCGAGTTGGGATGCAATTCATCGGTCCGCTTTTCAGCCAAACGGACTATAGTTTGTTGCCGTCAGTCAGCTGGAATATTGCTGTGCGGCCGACATGTGTACTATAGGCTCTGTATTCACATTATTGTCAGAGTGAACTATTAAATCTGTGTATATACAGATGCTGATGGAGGATGCTGACACAGGTATAGTATGGCCAATAACAACAGACACTAATACCGCTTGTCCTATACAGGTAGCATTGCCAGTATTAACCATCTGTGAAACGTCAATGCCAGAGACTAACCAGTCTCGATTATCCGCCATGACAAGCCCTTAAACCAGCGTCACAGCCAAAAGCGCTTACTTATCACTTCAAAATCATTGCTTCAATTATATACGCTATTTAATGCTTACACAGCAATTGAGACACATACATGTACATCGTACACAGCAGCATTGTAATCCATTTTCTAACTGCATCTCATATTCACTTACATCTCATTTTGGACCACCTAAAGCTTGTGGGTTCGAATCCCAATTCGTTCACATACGTATACTGTTTCTAGTTTTGTCTGAACAATATTCGTTCACGTGTCTTTCGCACAACAACTTTAAGGTCTATGACCGCCATAAAGTATTGTTTCATGATATACTACTAGGGGGGTAGGGTAGCCTAGTGGTTAAAGTGTTCGCTCCTAACGCTGAAGACTCGGGTTCGATTCCCCACATGGGTAGAATGTGTGAATCCCATGTCTGGTGTCCTCCGCCATGATATGTCAGGAATATTGCTAAAAGCGGCGTAAAATTAAACTCACTCACGTCTGACACTGACAGTCACCAGCCTTGTACATCAGTCTATGATTGAACATGCATATTCCACACACAATCACACCAAATATCGACCCCTGAAGATCCGGGTTAGAATTGATCTTCTTGATGCTTGTCGGAAGAGGCGACTAACGGGATCGGGTGGTCAGACACGCCGACTTGCATTTATGTTTGCACATGTCATCGTATCCCAATTGCGTAGATCGATGTTCATGCTGTTGATCACTGGAATGTCTAGTCCAGGCTCGATTCTTTACAGACCGCCGCCATAAAGCTGGAATATTGCTGAGTGTGGTGTAACACTAAACTCACTCACTCACACCACACATCAGCCAGTCAATGATGACCACTAACACCGAGTCGCCACAGGTTCATTGACATCATTTGAAACCTCGTTGACGGTTACGTTGTCAGCCATTTTGTCATGCTGTACTTGACATACACAAGTCTTGCAGTGCAGCGTCACTGTGACTTTGGGAGTATTCTGTTTCCATGGAGAACTTATTGGATGTTTAAATAAACAATTTGTTCCGTTGGCAATGGTAAAACAGTAAAACAGTAAAACTTCTTTGTAGAATAAACTGTAGATTGTTCGATGGCTTAGTAAATATATGTTTGAGGCACGCCAAAGTGAATACCGCGTTGGCAATGGTGAAAAACATAGAATAGTTTGTTTCATGGAAAACGTCACAAAATCAAAATTGTTTTGTATAAATTATAGATTGTTCGATGGTGCTTACTAATAAATGTCTTGAGGATTTTACCTTGAAAAAAACATAAACTGTTAAACATGCGTAATTATATTTCAGACACTGCAAATGGCGGTCCGAGGTCGATTTAGTTTGGTTTGCCAGCCAGTGGACTACACAGATAAACCTGATGCTGTAGAGGTGGGTGTGGTCCGACCAAATCAGGTTGGAATGACATGAAACGTAGCGTTCATTTACGTCACGATCTGCATGCAAGTGTGTATGTGCGTGTATGTATGTGTGTATGTGAGCCTCTGTGTATGTGCGTGCATGTGTCTAATTACTAGTCTGGACGAAAGCCTTTTATGTGGTACTACCCATTAAGATACGATGTCGCAGTTTAACTTTAATGACCTGCTCAGACACAGTGTGCCAACACAGGCCGTCTTTGACCCATCCTCTTTGTGCCGAGCGCCAGGCAGGGTAACAACAAATACCTTCTTTAAACGTGTGGATGTATCATACCAACGGGGATCGAACCCCCGACTTGAGAAATGGAACGGCTTGTGGGCGGTGTGTTTGTATTGACGATGAGGTACAATGACAAATACACTTCTTGCATGAACCCAACGAGCACTGCGGCACACTCCATCGTGGCCCGGCGTCAGTGGAATGGACTCTTCCTTTGCACGTGGACGTCGGCGATCCCAAAAGGAGGTGAACACCTGCGCCAGGAATGATGTTGTGTTCAAAGTCAGAATATTCATTCAAATCATTCAGTTTTACATAGGACACGTGGCACACGTCCATAATTAAGAACGTGGTTGTGATCTCCATGTCAGTTTACACTAGCTTCGCTAGCACACATCTGCATACAGATTTATTCGAATAATCTAATTCAGGTGGAGTCATTTAAAACAGTTTGCGTCATAGGCGGTGTGTGTGTGTGGGGTGTGTGTTCGAAGAACCCGCTGACACCCCCACCGACCCAACCCCCTCTGGATCCGCCGCTGTGCGTGCATGCGTGCGTGTATGCTTGCTAGGGGGATGCATAAACAAGTGACAGCGAAAGAGCACTGGTCGGAAACAGTTTTGCCAACTAAATGTCTTAGTGGGGGAAAAATACTTATTTATTTTAATTCATTTCAGATGGAATATTATATGTGGATTGTTTGTGAAATGAGGGAGGTTTGATGGTTTGGGGCGGTGCACAGAAAAATTTGTACATAACACGGTGAAATGGAAGATCAGAAAATGTGTTGTTTGGATCACTCTCACCCTCGGGTAAAATTGGACTCTTCCTCTCAAACATATTCATTGATTCAGTTGTCTGGGCTTTCTATTTGTGTCTAGACTTTTGTACCAGGAATTGCAGCCATTCTGTTCTTTCAGACTTTTCATAGACGTTTTTGTAAACACTCGTCCGATGCTGCTAAAACTACGTCTCATCCTATCAATCTTACTTTCAGGCGCTGTATACAGGATGGCTGTTTTTCTTTTCGAAGATTCTAGAACTAGCAGATACGGTAAGACAAATATATCAAGAGTGAGTGAGTGAGTTAAGATTTAAAGTCACATCGGCAATATTTGAGCCATATCGTGACTAAAATATATCAAGAGGGACCGTGGGTAGTTTAGTGGGTAAAGAGTTCGCTAATCACGCCAGAGGCCGGATTCGATTCCCCAAATGAGTACAATATTTGAAACTCGCAAACGATGCTCAATGCATAATTATGATGTTTTGTTTTGTTGGTTTGGCTTGTTGTTGTTTTGCTTTGTTGTTGTTGTTGTTGTTCGGGGGGTTGTTGTTGTTGTTGTTGTTGTGTGTGTGTGTGTAGGTTATTTCTGTTTTAATGACACACTATTCTAATCACATCAATATTCCCACTAACTGACAGCGGCAAATGTCGGTGTCAGTGTAGGCAGTTCGTGTGTGAAATTTAATTTTCAGGATCTAGATTAATCATCCATATTGTTCTATTCGGACACAGTTCATCAAATTTTCTTTACTATTTGTTTTTAAACTGAAAAACAAAAGAAACTATGTCTGTTGATTTTATCATGTATTTGATTTTCAAATATAAGTATTTTAAGTGAATGACATTACACATATAGGGGTAACTGTGCTGGTGACTGATCAGTACTCGAAACATACTTCTACATGGTTGCTAGTTTTTTAATACAATTCTATCGAAACTTCTAAATTTTCTAAAATCGCATACCAAGAAGTAATGATAAAACTGGTGTTTTCGGCACATATTTATCAGATCAATTTTCAAAAATGGTAGGTGAGGTGAGGTGAAATTGGGTTTTACGTCTTGCTTGAGAATATTCCGCTCATATGACGACGTGCATGCGTGTGTATGTGTATGTGCGGCTGTTTGTACTAGCCCAGACAAGCTGGTTTTATAGTGTTAGCCCACTGAGATACCATGCCGCAGTGAAGCATGAATACCCCACTCAGACACATTATACTAACTGCGAGCCGACCAGTCCTTGTTGTACCCATCAATGCCGAGCGCCAGGCTGGGACCAACAAGTACCATATTTTAACGTCTTTTGGTATGACGCGGTTGGGGTTCGAACCCGCGACCTTCGGCTCTCCGGGCGGACCAAAAATGGTAGGGGTTATGTGTTTGCACATTCATTTTTCCATAGTATTTTCCGAACCAATGCATTTTTTTTTCGATATTACCCTTTCGCAGATTCATATTTACAAACTGTCGAAAAAAAGATTGATGGCTGAACTAATATGAAAAACAACAACGGTTGTTTCGATCTTCAGTTGCATTAAAAGCAAGGTTCTTTCTCGCCTTACTTTATTCGTTTGTGTACATCCGGAGTAGACTAGGGTCCGGCTAATGAAATGAGTATCGGTCTAATTTTGCTGCTCATGCCGTTAACCACTGGTTTGAGTGACACGGAGTTGTTTAGTACAAGTTGGTGTTTGATATGACTGTTGCTCCTGTGGTAAATAGAAATAATATTGATTCACTCATCCATCCACAACTTTTAAAGGGGAACTATCAATTGGCATACGTGTATCAACATTTATAATTTAATCTCAACTTATATTTTGTTGTACGTATTAATCTAGAGGTTGATTTTTACCAAAATTAAACCAACACACAGTCTCATTTTGACTCAGTACACAGATTACAAAGCATTTACTCCGTCCAAAATGGTAAGAACGCATCTGAGAACATGGCCAGTCTTTAAATACATACAGTGAGAGATTAGTGGGATTTTCGCCACTTTAACGATATTCAAGAAACGGGCCGTAGAACGCCAAATATGAAATTACGGCACAATATTTAGGACAAGCGAACGCTTCAACCACTAAGCTAACCAACCTGACCTTAATTGTAATACGCCCCTATATGGCAGAAAAGTGCCTAATTTACGTTAAATTTTATTTTATTTGTAATACTTTCGTGACCATTTCATTATCAACGTTTCTTTAATCTCCGAAAGTTAATATACGAGAAACTATGGCAACAAGAATTCAGTTTCTCTTCTGTGACAGCTGTCACCGTTGTCAAAGGCGTAAAAAACGCCATTAATGCCGGTCCTTGCTCATCGACGTATAGCGAGAGCAGACCCACCTCGCCTGTTCCACCCTGACATCCAATCATACGGCGTTGGGCTACATTTCAATTGTATACATTTATGATTAATAAAACACACGTGTCGACAAGAATAGCATGTCATAGAAGCAATAATTGGAATGATATTGTGTCGCACTCGTTGCCTTAATATAGCAGACCATGCATCCTTAATGAAATATGGACTAGGTCGTTGTGTTTCGTTGTGTTGTTGTGGTTTTGATCAGTACTTTTTTCGCTTTTTTGTTAATACACATTTTTCATATCGAATACATTTGACAATAAGCCTACAAGAAACCTGATGCTCGGTAATGAAAAAAAGAAGGCCGTTTGTTTAAAAAAACTGTTTTTTAGTTTAATTTGATTTACTTGTGTAAACTATTACAAAAATGCATTTAAATATATTTCTGCAATTTACATTTTTTCATCAATCGTTTTCCTATCGCTTATGCGTATTAATTACATGTTCATGTTTTTTGCTTTACAGGTATTTTTCATTCTAAGAAAGAAAAACTCCCAGGTGTCGTTTCTACATGTGTATCATCATACAACTATAGTTGTGGTCACGTGGTCAGGGATGAAATTTGTATCAGGAGGGCAAAGTGAGTAGTTGCTTCGCGGAAAAAGACAATCATAAATTATTTATTTTGCTTCAGGGTCATAATGACGTTAGAATTTATATTCAGTGTTTTGAAAAACATTCCTTCTGGACGTCCTAAAAAGATTTAAATCTAAATCTGAAGTTTATAAAACACACTGAAGTTGAAGCTTCGGTTTAAGCCTATTTAAATACCACTACACTAATAATGGAAGATACAAACACAATAATGAGCCATAGAAATTCCATGCAAAGTAATTCATCAATGTAAATCTGGAGTAGCGAGTGGCCAATGGTAACCATGAGGCGTAAAGGTGCGGTGGGGTAGCCTAGCGGTTAAAGCGTTGGCTCGTCACGCTGAAGACCCGGGTTCGATTCCCCACATGGGTGCAATGTGTGAAGCCCATTCCCGGTTTCCGCCGCCGGAATATTGCTGGAATATTGCTAAAAGTGGCGTAAAAAAGCGGCCTCCAACATTAACACTGGCGAATGGGCCCGAGGTGTATATCCTCATAGAGTGGAGATAAAATTCCCTGCATGATCGAGGATGATGGTGTTTTTCTGTAAGTCTGTTTCACTTCTCTGTAACAGGTTTTGTGTACCCGTTGCTCAACTCGCTGGTACATGTCATAATGTACCTTTACTATGGCCTGTCAGCCATCGGGCCAGGCATGCAGAAGTACCTCTGGTGGAAACGCTACCTCACTATATTCCAGCTGGTAAGTATCACATCATCACGTGCTGCAGTCGTCACTCCTCGCCTATTCCTATTCCGCAAAGTCTTCTCAATTCGAAGATTAATCGGTCCCCCGATCTAGAGAATACCTAGAAGAATGTATAAAAACACGAAACAAGAATGATTTGTAAGAAAAAGTAAAAAACTTTATGGTCTAACTATATTCTTGGTTCCTTTTAAATCTTTTTTGATTGTTTTAGGTATATATTTTGAAATAGGATAACTTCATTTTTGGTCAAAATATCAATCTACTTGAATATTTGAATACTTTGATTCATGGCGACATTGCGACCAGCTTGAACGAACCATGAATTGTTGAGAAAATGTAAGGATTTCAGTCTTCAGTCTTTGGCCGCCTTCTTGACCTGTTGATCAAACGTATGTGGCGCAGATTTCGATGGCTTCCAAAAGTTTCTGATTCTTGGTGGATAGGATTTCAGCTTTGTCAAACTGGGATAGATGACTGGGGAATGTTTGTTGGTGGTCTGAGAGGGATGATTTGTTGTCTGCCTTGGCTGTTGAGGTTTATCTTCTTTTATTTGGTTATCTAAGAGACGGGAGATTTCACCTATAGAAGTGTCACCACATTCACAGAGTATGTTGTTGATAGCGCCTTTGTGCTTTATGGAACAATGGTTACCACTGTTATTGTTGAGGATGGTTCTGACGGATGAAGAGCCTGTGAAAAACGTTTAATTTATTTGACTCTAACAAAAAGTATCCATTCTCTAACAGTGTGTATTCAGCTGCAACAACATACATCTTATATTAAAACGGTTTGAATTGAGATGTCCTACTGAAATTACCCCCGATTCGCTCAGATTGCCTTTCCATGTATTACATTTAAATACAATGACATAAGACAAAATTATGAACTCTGATGTGTCCATACATACACAAGTCGTCACGTGTCTGTGCGTACAGTTTTCAAATCCCTTAACTATCACAAACTGCTGTAGACGAAGAAACTCAAAGCCCCTTGCTCGCCTTTATCGAAATATTGATTAATGTCCGCGCAATATCCGCTGGGAGTTGACCTTCACTTGGCAGTGGCTGAAAGTATGACACGTTTAGCATCAGTATAACCTTCCTCGTCTCGACAGGGGGGAATAACAGCAGGGTATAACAGGATTCGCCTTGAAAGGCGACTTTCGTGATCAAAGTTTCTTCACAAGTTATAAGCAAGTTTAATTAGCTCAACCTTCAGGGGGTTAACAAAAAATACACTTGATCACAGTACGACTGACTTAAGTGCATCGCTTTAACAGCGTGATGTCACGAACACTTCTTTGGTCGATTTTGAAAAGTGCGTGCCTTTAAAGAATTCTGGTAGTTTTTAATAACATTAATATTAAAAACATACGTGGTTTTGGCACTGGGAGCTGAGAAATACCATTCTTATCCATTTAAATATGGGGATGTTTCAGGAACAATTTGTTTGAGTGAGTAAGTGAGGGAATGAATACCATAAGTCGGACACTTGGTTTCGCTCGCGTTCGGGAAATATATTCTGGCACTGGTTTCGTAAAATTAGTATGACATACATGCGTGCGTAATAATTTCGTTTCTACGCCATCTTAGAAAAACATAATTTTCGAAAGACGTCAACAATCTGTAGCTAAGACGTCATATTTCGGATTTCGTCATTCGAACTCGGCGCCACAATAAGTTTCGAATGACATATGTCGTCCTGATGACGTAAACAATGCACTGGTGTGTGTTTGAGGGTGTGGTGTGTGTTTGAGGGTGTGGTGTGGTGTGGTGGGTAGCAGTAGTTGTAAGTGCTGCAATTCATACTTCTGTTCAGGGTTGCGTCTCTTAGAAAACTGGTTCAATTCTCCCAACTTCGCCTTAATTCTGTGCCTGTTTTAGGCGGGATTCCCCCAAATGGGTACAATGTGTGAAGCCTATTTCTGGTGTACCCGCCTTGAAAATAGAAGCCGTGATATTATTGGAATATTGGTAAAAGCGGCGTAAAACTATTATACTCACTCACTCGTCCTGACTATGTCTTTAGGTTTAACTGCACCAACACATGCTCTTGGATTTCACCAACGTGGTAAACGTCCAGCTTTCGTCCCATATTAAGCTTACACAGCGTGATGTAACTGAAATATTGTGCTAAATGAACAAGTTGTTCTAACTGTCGAAAACACAACCCATTCTCTTTATCGACCAGACTTGGTTACCTGTTTTAATGGGGTATCGTTGTGACACAACTGCATGGGTCGATGTCAGTCATGATGCCAGTCACGGGATTGCGTTGTCCAGATTACTGACAGAAAGACGTCATATAGCAGGGAATATTACTCAAGATGGCGTCAAACACAACCCCTCATGTAGAATTGAAAACAAATATTTCATGTATATTTTGTAAATTTTATGTAATTGTAATATGTATTTTACAGTTGTGTTTTTTCTATTCCAGACCCAGTTTGTACTCATGCTTACCCACGCAGCCGTGAACTTCTTCGTAGAATGCGACTTTCCTAAGTTGTTCGATAAGCTGCTCTTTACATATGCTGCCTCCATCATGGCGCTGTTCCTTAACTTTTACTTCAGAGCATATATACAGGGCAAAAGGCCAGCTCCCACCGTCAGTAAAACCCACAAAGACAAATAACAACGAATTCTTCATAGCAGCCATGTTGTCTGGAAATTACTGAAGAAAGTCAAGTGTTTGGGTTTTTAATTTTTTAAAATATTTTTTTCCTTTTTTTTATGCCCAGGGAACATGCAAATGTTAGTGTTATGCTCAAAAAAATATTCTTCCATGAGACAAGAACGGCGTTTTCCAGTGAGTCTTGAAGTGTTATCTCATTTGGGTTTACAGAAGAGTGAACGGAACTGTGTTCACCCTTGCGCACCACTATGTTCCACCAGTGTTACTTGATATACTCAAGCCAATAATGGTTGTCACCCCCTCCCCACCCCCAACCCCCACACACCTACCCACACCCCTCTCCAATTAAAAAAAAGAGGGGTGTGACAACCATTATTGGCATGAGTATATAACAGCAATGATATAAACGAATGACATCATTTGTCCCAGATAACGGTAACAATAACCGTAGTCAGTGAATTCCCGTTATTCTGAGCGCCGTTAATTAGATCACCGTGCCGATATTAGAACTTTGTGCCGATATTAGACCATCGTGTCCGATATCGAACTGTTATGCCGATATTGAATCATATTTGCATAAAGAAACCCAAACCGTATGAGAAAAGAAGCAATTCCTATTGTGGCATTTCGATTTGGTTGTAGAAGACATGGCGCTCAGAAATGACAGGGTGTGAAAAAATATCCAGAGCAATATGATAAGGCGACCTTATTTTTTAACATTCGGAACTGGTCGTTTAAGTTCGTTTTCAACAGACATCAGTCTGATGGTCTGAATGCTTCGATCTCTTGTACCGAAATCTCAGAAGCTTCAACGCTGGTAGGAGATAAAAAGAGAGGAATGGTTGTCATGTCAGCAGAGAATTATCCGGTATGTGTGAAAACCCTTCATGAAATGAGATTAAATTCCTTGTGACTTTTTTTCCTTTTCCAAGTGCTTGAACTGGACGGTATTAGAACGTCGTCACGCCAAAGGGGTATTTCAGGTATTCTACGGTATCTATGTAATCTGTATTAACGTTTTACATTTTAAATCTGCACAGCCTACAACTGTCGCACACAAAATACTTCTCCCTTTAAAGGACTCTCTATGTACATTGTAATGAGAATATGAACGGTGTTAAGTGTTTAGCGTCTTTAAAGACGCTTCGATCACGTATGGGTATTTTTTTTATATTTTCTCACTTTTCCTTTGTCATATTTATTGCCATCTGTGACCTTCACAAAGCTGTGTGCATGAACACAGTGAGTGTGTTGCGAGAAAGAAATCTATAACGATCACCTGTGTGTCAAAAGTCTGTATGGATGTTTCTATCAATCAGGTTGTGAATGACATATATAAGCGATATCTGCCTCGAGGCAGCCTGTATGAATGTGTATCGCCATAGTAGTGAAGATTATGTATTTATTAGCATTCGGTTGTGTATATTTATGAATAAAGATATTCCAAGTGATTCAGTTACTTTCTTTTCGAAGAAAAACCAGGTCCCACACCACAAAGGAGTTAGTGAGTTAAGTTTTACGCCACTCTCAGCAATATTCCAGCTATATACGCCGGAACGTAAATTATCGAGTCTGGACCAGAAAATCCAGTGATCAACAGCGAGAGCATCAACCTACGCTTCTGGGATACGATGACATGAGTTAACCAAGTCATCGAGCCTGTCCAACCGGTCCCGTTAGTCGCCCTTACGATAAGCACGGGTTGCTGAAGATCAGTTCCAACCCGGATCTTCACGGGTTTGATAAATTTGTACTTTAACAGATACTGTACCATACGTCGATGACCTTCATCTGTACTGAATAAAGAGTGTTAAGTTGAAACATTCCGACTGAGCCTTTTAGTCTTTATTTATGAGGGAGGTAGTGTGTTTAGTTTTTCGCCGCACTCAGCAATATTCCATCTATATGGCGGCGGTCTGTAAATAATCGAGTCTGGACCAGACAATCCAGTGATCAACAGCATGAGCATCGATCTGCGCAATTGGGAACCGATGACATGTGTCAACCAAGCCTGTGAGCCTGACCACCCGATCCTGCTAGTCACCTCTTACGACAAGCATGGGTTACTGAAGGTTCATTCTAACCCGGATCTTCACGGGTCTCTTTATTTATGACATACGTATGGTACACCTATTAATACACGAAAATATGTATACCCTAATATCATATCATTCCTTCGTTATAACTTAAACATTCTCTTGAAATTATTGAATAATATCTCTTCTTTCTAGCACAAACATGACTATTTTTAATTATGTGTATGTGATAGGTTCGGGTGATGAGGTAGCCCAGTTGTTAAAGAGGTCGCCCGTCACGCTGAATACCTGGTTCGATTCCAAATATCAATATCATTCGTGAAAGTAATTCATAGTGTAACGGCTGCGATGCTGCTGAAAGCTTACTCTGTTATCGAACATATACACGTCGATCAAATGTGCTCAGCGAACGTTTCACTATGTTCCACATGTGTGTACTGACGGCGACAACCAACAATGGCGAAAATTGGGTTTTGTTCGATTTAGTGTGTGTGCATGCATGCGTGCACTTGCATGCCAAGGTTTTATCGTAACACGTTTATTGCGATAAGCCCTTTCTGATCACTGAACTGGAACGTTCAACGATATTAAAACGCTAGTGGCGTTAAACCAGGTACTTGTGTCGTAATTCTGTGAAAACTGATGTGGAGGCGGAGGTTGAAGCAACTTTATCTTTTCTTGTGTAATGACTGGTGAGGCTCTGGGGCAGGCCTGCGGTTAAAGCCTTCGCTCTTGGCGCCATTTCCATTCATCGGTGAAGACCCAGATTCGATTCCCCACATGGACAAAACTAGACTTACAACTAGTCTCTGAAATGAACATATTTTACTGAAAAAAACGTTCATAGTAAAAACATATATATATTATGAAAAGGAGCCCTGAGACATTTTCCTGAAGCTGAGGAAATCTAGACTTGCCACGTTTTCTAGACTTGCGTGGGCTTTCTTGGATATATTTGCTTCAGGGTCTGTACGAGAGACTAGGGCATAACGTTTGAAGTTCATTTCTGTGTTTCTATTGCTAGAATTGTGCCAAGAGCGGCGTAAAACAATACCCACTAACAGGCTGTTATCTTACATCATCTTAATCATATATGGAGTGAGTGAGTAAGGTTTCACGCCGCTTTAGCAATATTCCAGCAATATCACGGCAGGGGACGCCAGAAATTGGCTTCACACATTGTACCCATTTGGGGAATCGAACCCAGGTCTTCGGCGTGGCGAGCGGACGCCTTAACCACTCGGCTACTCCACCGCCCATATATGGAGTGAGTGAGTGAGTTTAGTTTTATGCCGCTTTTAGCAATATTCAAGCAATATTACGGCGGAGGACACCAGAAATGGGCTTCACACATTGTACCTATTCGGGGAATCGAACCCGGGTCTTCGGCGTGACGATCATATATGGAGAGAGTTGAGTTTGATGCCCGGCAGCCTGTGTGTGCGGAAAGCAAGAAGTGATACCTCTCTCCGATGTGAAACAGCCACTGGTGCTGACAAACCTAGAAACACAATCGGCGGATTCGAATCCATAAATATAACATTCGGTTGCCATTAATAATCTTCACGTATTTAAATCAATAAAAATTTGTGATGTCAATTACACCTGAAATTAGATCTACCACGAACAGCAGCTGTTCTTACTGTAAAAGAGACTTGAACTCATGCGTGACCGGTGTCACCAAAACACGCTGGATCAATGACACCTGCCAGCTGGCCTACCGCCATTCTTTCCAAGACACAAAAACTTAACAGCCATAATGATTTTACCCACGTTGTTTCATCCCAATCCGGGGCGGTGGGGTAGCCTAGTGGTTAAAGCGTTGGCTCGTCACGCCGAAGACCCGGGTTCGAATCCCCAATGGGTACAATGTGTGATGCCCATTTCTGGTGTTCTGGTATTGCTAAAAGCGGCGTAAAGCCATACTCAGTCAGTCAGTCATCCCAATCCAGTCGCTCGCAATATACAACCTTGGCCTTGATCTTGTCCGGACTGAAAATAGCCAGCGATATGATATGGCTGTAAATAAAATACGGAAATAAAACTGGTGGTTATTTAGCGTGTATTTGTGCGTGATACTCGTATGTGTGTAAAATAAACAAGAAATTATGTGATAGGAGGACATTTTCAGATTCTGGCTCGGAATCGCTGTTACGTTTAAAGCTTCCCAAGGTTCAGTCACCTGACAGTGACCTGTCTCGTTTTGTAGCGTTATCTGTTGGCGTGGAATACGTGACACTGTCTAGTTTTAAAGCGGTATTAACAGTCCTAGAACGGAACGTGTGTTGACTTCGTTACATCCTCTTTCCCTTTGTATTGAGCTACGACCCCGACACTAACAACACTAGGTTATGTCCTGGCGTTATGTTGACACTACAAGCACCGGTGGTTTTGTCGTATTGTTAATTTATTTGAAGTTACCTATTTTTTACGACAATCGCTTGACATCCACGCATCTAATTAGTATCCAAACGCAATGTAATAACAATTCAAGTAGAATGTACCAGATGGTTTCTGCTCCAGGTGACAGATGATGCAGTGAAGCTGCCTCGCGAACGATGATAATGGGTTTTACGGACTTGGACCTAGTTCATGAAGCGAGTGTAAATTGTCACGGAAGTAGTATATGGGGCGAGCGTAAAAACTGTCACGGAAGTAGTGTACGGGGCGGATGTAAGCTATCACGAAAGTAGAGTATGGAGCGAGTTAACTGTTGCCGCATACAACTGATTTCATCTTCGTGTATGAAATACGTTGGGTAGAGTTAGTCTCACATATCATATGTCGTTTTGACCAAAATCTTGTATTTGCTATCTCTATTTAGTATATCTATGTCAATCATCTAAATCCCTGATCCTTATTTTTCCATTTCATGATATTACCTTACTTAACAGATGATTAATTACTAGTCCTTGGAATATTTTGGGCTTTGTTTGCTTCTTTTTTTCTTTTTTTAATTTTTTTAATTTATTTGTATTGATATTATTATTTTCATTTATCATATTTTATTTGTTTTATTTATTGTATTATTATTATTTTTTTTTGGGTGCACTATGAAATTCCAGTTATATGACGGCGTCTGTAAATAACAGACAAGCCAGTGATTGACTATAAGAGCATGGATCGGGGCAATTAGCTTGACATGCTATGTTTAGCATCAACCAGTTGAGCTAGCCCGATGCCTCCATCCAGACAGTTGCCTCTTTCAAGTATAGATTGTTAAGGACCAATT